TCATTCACAGGCGTAAAAATTGCACGTTCATTAAAAATATTGCTATCAAACCCAGGCTCAGAAATTTAAGGGAAAATTCCAACAGCCAACATCGGAACAGGATCATCATTCACATCATAGTAATTAACAATGTGCTGTGGAAGCTGAACATAGGAATTTTCAACTGAATGTAATTGTCCATTTCCAAGAGCAAGCAAGAAAGCTGAATACAGTGGATCTTCTTTAGCTCTGATATTTTCTGTTAATTGGAATTTTGTCAAAATAGGCCATTTGTAGGAACTAACTACACTTACACCAACAACTTCCTTTTGTGTACGACGAGGAAAAATAGGCAACACCTGCCTAAAATCCCCTCCAAAAACAATTACTTTCCCACCAAAAGGGTTATCAGGATAACAAGCAAAGATCTTGAACCAATAGATCTAAGGATTCAATGTTTTCTTGATGTGCCATTGAAGCCTCATCCCAAATGAAAAGAACAACTTCTTTTATTAAAGCAGCTAAACTTCCTTGCTTAGGAACATCACAAGTAAGTGATGTTTTAGAATCTAATGGTATCTTAAATCTTGAGTGTGTTGTTCTGCCAAAAGAAATATTAGATGCTGCAATACCTGATGTTACTGTAGGAAGAACTTTTTTTTCCTGCCAGACGCAGCATATAAAGCATTGTACAAGAAAGTTTTCCCAGGTCCATCCACAAAAAAACATCCTGGTTTGCCATCTTGAATATGATACATAATGATGTTAAATGCAGTTGCCTGAGTTGCATTTAATTTATCTCGACAATCAAGACATTCTAGAGGAATAGGTGCTTCTAAAGCATCTACAATATCTCTTGTCGCACGAATCCCATCATCCGCTTCATCTACCAAATGACCTAATTCAAAGTATTCCAACGACATTCCCATGGCTTCTAAGCTGCTTTCTAACTCCTTCACAGTCAATTTCTTAACTTTAGATGGGCAGTTTGGATACTTATGCTTGAAGTCTTCAGACAATGAGCTATAAACACGCAACCAAAGCACATTTGGATTACTTGGTTGGAAGAATATTAACAGGGTTGCAAAGAGTTGCCTCATTGCTGAAGGCATTTGGGCTTCTGATGCCTCCTTCACACAAGAAGTGGTTGCACTGTCTTCCTGTAACAACCCGTGCTTAATAGCAGCCTCTTGAAACGTTGAGTATAAAACCCCATCAACAGTTTTTAGATGGTTAAATAATATAGGATTTATAACTTTACCAAGAAATAAGCGCAAATAGAAACGCTCACCTTCTGAAGGAACCACAATAGCCATCCTACTAACATTATTTTTTTTATAGGTTCTTTTAACCCACTCTTTATTGCTGCTATCCCATCTGTATGCTGCAATCATTTCAGTATATCGAAGACCTTTGCCTCCAGGCAGGGATGCATTTTTGGTGAAAAATTCCGTCAAAGCAGCTTTGCTTCTTTTTTCATTTCCAACAACTGATTCAAGCTGTTCACGAGACCTCATGTAAACAATCTGCATATTTGGCAAGTGCACTGGTAACAAAATGACAAAAGGAGTCATTTCAAACAAATCAAACCCAAATATTCTCCAAGCTGCCTCACATGGAGAAACCCATCTACCAGCTTGAAAATTCTTAATCTCATCAACACCTTCACTACCTTCTCCATCAAAATTAAAAGAAACACGATTTTGGCCCTTATAGACATACTTATACAGATATTTCACTACTTGAATATTAGAACACACTTTAACTTTTAGATGTCATTCAAATAATAAAGATAGGTGTGGATTATATGGGATTACCCATCGATTATCAAGATTAGCACCACGAATCCTAACATGCTCTCTTGTGTTTCGCCTTCTATACAATGGAAAATCATCCTCATTAGTAGTGGTTTCTTCTACATATGACTTGGGAAAATTATATTTACAAACCAAATCATCCTTAACTCTCTTTTTCATGCATCCACACTTTGGATTTAGACTACCACAGGGACCATGCATCATGCGCTTTAATATAATTTCACGCAACTGAGGAGATTCAGTAGAAAGAATTTCTGCACTAAAAAAATTATCATAATCTGAAGGACGAGTAAGCTTATACCCATGGTCTAAGATAATAAGAAAATGGGCATGTGGCAGACCTCTTTTTTGGAACTCTACAACATATACTATAGCTGCAACCTTCCCAAAAACATGTTCTTCTGTGATTTGTTTCTTCAATGCAATTAGCTTACTTCTAAATACACGAGCAATAACATCTGGACGATCAGCTGTAGTTCAGTATCAGCAAATTCAGCTGTTATGTCTGGCTATTTAGCGTTACATGTCATAGTGACAAAAAGATCAGGCTTGCCAAACCGCTGAACAAGTGCCAAAGCATTTAAATGCCGCTTCTTCATATCACGATGCCCACCTATGAAAGATGGTGGCAAAATAACTTGTCGGCCAATATTGTTTGCACTTTTCTCCCCATCATCAATAGTATCCAGAATGCCCTGATACATATTTGCTCTAATTGTTTGTTGATTCCTTCTAAAAAAAATCAAGTCTAGTATCAATCTTAACATACATATCAACAATGTATTGTTGGAAACAACGACCTCCAAGAAGAAGCATGTTCCCTGGCTTGATCTACAACATGTAAGCATAGTATTCTCTGGCAGAATTATGCCTGTTAGAGGTGCCTGAAGAGTCTGCCGTGCCTGTTTGCCTAAAACGATGTCACATAAGCTAAGTTGTGAACTTATGCATACATGAAAGTTGAATAAATTAAATAAATAAGTTTCTACTAAAGACTTACGCTTAGCCTATTCTTCTAATAAACCATCTTCTGAATGCACAGCGCACGAAGAAACAGGACTAACATCCATTAAAGCCTTTTTTCTGTGTACTTGTATAAGTCTTCCGCAAACCCTGAGTCCAGCCACAGTCACCATATGGGAAAAGAAGAGGGTATTGTAATGGGTCATAGCATCCATACTAGTGATATATCCGATGCTTCCTAGTAGATTTTCCTGATACAATTATATGTGGGCTACTATAATCACTTGAAGACATGCTATCTGGCCATATAGCATCAACCTCATCAGTTAAAGGTGCATTACACATTCTTTGGTCTATTACCGTGCTCTGATTAATGACAATCTGTGTATTGTGAGTTACAGTAAGCTCTCGTAATGATTTGAAGAATCGAGCATACATATTTGCACTTGTAACACGCATAAGTATGTCTACTATATCCCTCCTAACCTCAGGAAAAAATTTTGTTCTATGCATAAACTGGGCATCATAAAAATAAAGTTGCAACTACTTAGGCATTTTATCTTCAGGAAGTAAACCAGGCAAATTGTGATAGATCTGACCATGCAGCAAGAAGACGTAAATTCCTTTTTCAGTTTTAGCATTATAATCACCTCCAAGTGAGCAGAATGCAAACAAATTATTATACATGTGAACATATTGCCTTAAATGCAATGCATCCTCGTCTTGGGATGTAAAGAGTCGATGAAGTTCAGGAGGGAAATCATTTGTAGCAATCCTAATACTTCCATTCCCATAACAACAATGAAGCCATTAATACGAAAACTTCTTAGATCCGCATTTAAGATAAAAATGAGGAGTCTCCATCTGTAAAGGAGCTGATGGAAGTGGTTAGCCAATGACAGCAGATGGTTCTTCTGAAAGCAATATTTTGAGATAAAAAATTACCTAATTTAGATGGTATATTAGTTAAAAAAAACAACCAACTAAACTGCATACTCTTTTTTTTTTGGAGCAGATGTCTTTTTTTTTTTTCTTTTGCTCCTTAGGCTGTTCTGCTTTTGCATGGTTCCTAAGTGCTCCCTGCGCACTGCTCTCACCAATCTCACTATCCTCACAAATATAAACACAACAATAAGACGAAGAACACGTAAATTTCATAAGCTAATTCCAATATTAAATATAACTGTGACAACCTTACAGAATTTTTCACTGATATTCCATTTATTGGTTCTAAGTAAGTAACAGCAAAAATTGCTCCTTCTATAAATAAAAAAGGCTAACACTATCAAACAAACCACAATCCAATTTTAATTTATAAAATTGCACAATCAATCAAAGATGCTCACTTGCTTTCCTTGGAGAAAACTGTTTAAGATCTTGCTTTGAATATGCCTTTTTTTTGCCTGTGTTAGTACATGCCTTCTTGGCACTATTGTCGACTGCCTGACTATCCCCAACATTTGCTCCCTCTATTAGAAAATATAGGTTAGCAATGGCTACACAATTCAAAATTTAACTAACAGCAGAGTCAAACAAAAATGCTCACTGGATTTCCTTGAGGTAAGCTGCTTAGGAGCTGCTTTGGAATTTATATTTTTCTTGCCACTATTTGTACACGCCTTGTTTGCACTGTTGTCAACCACCTAACTATCTCTAACAATAGTAAACATGTAATTATAATTTCGGCTTGAATACATTTAACATATAATGATACAAATTTAATAACCCATCCCAACCTGATTCCACCTGGTTTTGAAAGAGCATCAATTGCAAGTGAACGTTTGCTATCACGCTGCCTTACATAATTCCCATAATTTTTAGCCTTATCTGTCATGTATTCTTACATAACTTGAGAAATAATCATTTACATAGAAATTATAATTTCTAAACAATTTTTCTATGAAATTTGCAAATTCATTTTTGTAATCTCTTATTAACCATTTCATTACCACACATAGTCACATGCCAAAATCATACCAATGTAATGATGTACTGAGCCAACAACTTGAAATGTAATAGATTAATGTTAGCATGTATTCTGCAAAGTTAGCAAAATTTAAAAGTTATAACAATATGTAAATTAAAGAACCAGTAAGTAATATGTATAGCATGATAATAATCAAAGAGTACAACAAGCCATAAATAACATAAGGCTAACATAATTAATTTCATTCAATCAAACTGCATTGCATTGCATATAAACATATTGTCTTAGACCATAATATTACATCCCATAAGCTAACATTACAAGAAAAGGCAAAAGCAAGCTGAGATGACTTAGCAATTGAATATTCAAACAACAAAACTACGTCAACATAGCATAGACTCTTAGATTAAACACTACAGGTTCTTAGCTGAACTACAAGTTCCAAACCAAACTAATCTATATCTTCCTGCGCTTAAACACAGTTTTTAAGTCATCTAGAACTGGAACAAATAAGCCATCAGGTACTGGGGCAGAGCATGCATCAGCATGTTGGCCAAACGAAGAAGTAGCCTTTGGTTTCGAAGGAGCTGCTGGAGGCAATGAAGGAATTGGAATCCTATGATAGCCAGACTGAGGTGTGAGACAGTCACCCCCACCAATATAAGGAGCTAAATGCAACTCTCCTTGCTTTCCAAGTGCACATTCCCTAACTGACATGTAACTCTCCTCAGCCAATACACACCTAATACCAGAATAAACCCCCTTTTCCATAATTCAGGTCCACTATGTCTACATTGTAACGAACACGCAAATTCTTGACAGCCCGCGTAGCAGCATCTTGCTTTGCACCCTTGCAAGTACTGGACAAAGCACTATAAACACATTCCATACCAACACCATCACAAAAATATACTGTCAACCAAGACACTCACTTCCCTGCAGCAAGCTCAGCAACCTCAACACCAGAAACCCTGGCTTCAGTTGCAGCAACCAAAACACACAACACATCTATGTAGTCAATGCATATGCACTTATCCCCATTAGTCTTGGCTGATGGAACAGGCCACTTAGCCACACCCTTTGATGAAGGCTTTTTCAATGTAATGCATTTCATCTCATATAGAAAAGCACACAAATCAAGCTTGTACATAGCCTCTGTAGTTAAATCATCAATCTGCAATCCATATTCTGCTCGCAAAAAGCGAACATCTTATTTAGCAGCATTTTCATGGGAAGCATCCAGGGTCACAACAGGGCCACCATCAAATGTATAAGGGGAGAGGATACAATCAGTCACAAGAGAATGATCAACAACATTCCCAGAATCATGTTAAGCGATAAGTAGGTGGCGCAAACTTCAGGAAATCAATAACCTGATTTAACAAGCATTGAAAAGAAATGGCAACTTTCAACGGCTCTGGCCCCATAACCTGTGGTCATGATCAATGTACACCATCAGAAGCTAAGCTACTACAAAACAACACCTAAACAACTAAAAAATCTACGCTGCAACTCTAACACCTTACCAATACTCTTACATACACCAATGTCATCACTATATAAACCTCAGAGCACCCTTAACACACATTACCTCAAATAACTCCATTGACAACAATATGATCACCACACATGTATAATTATTAACAGCAAACAAACTAAGACCTCCTAACACCTTAAGAACACTACAACAAAAAAAAACAAAAAGCAGAATAAAATATACTCCAACATAATTAGACTTAATTTCATCTAAAAAATAGAACAAACAAGGAACCACAAATACATATAGCAAGTTCTGAAGCACCAGAAAACAGCACTCCTAGATGCTGGATACCTTCACAAACAACCAGAAACAACAAAGAACAAATTAATCAAACATTTTAAAAAAAATCTTGAGCTATAACCATAATTAGTACATCAAAATTGTTTAAGAAACATAACAACAGAATTGAAATTTTAGAATTTCAGACTCAATAACTAGAATTAGCAAAACAAAACATAACAAAAAAAAACCAGAACAATAACCATAATCAGTACAATAAAAAGAAAAAAAAAAGCATAATCAGTCTAACAAAATTCCTTGCATAACATATAACAACAAAAAACAATATAATTCAAAAGATCAATGATTTTAAATTCCTTTCCTAAGCAAAGCAACCCAAATAATAAAACAAAATATGCCTAATCTAAACAAATATCAAAACATCACATGAATGGCAAACGGAAACATCAAGAACAGAATAATTTAATAAATTATTGAATCTGTCCATCCATAAACCCTTGAAATCCAAACTAAGCAATTAACAACTAGAATAATGTATAAAGCAATTCAATTTAAAACAAGAATAACACTACATCAGACAAATAACAATTATCAAAAGTCCATATTGAAAGTCCAAATCAGTAAAAGTTTTGTGTTATCAATGAATTTGTTCTTTGAGTGTCAATAAATTCAGTCCATTTTCCATGTTATGTCAAGTGTTATACATCAAGATTTATTACAATATTGTGTTTGTACTATGCTGAGCAATTTGAGTAAAATCAGTGCACATTTTATAGCATAATAATCGAACATAATCTAATATTTTCTTACCAAATTCCTATATTTTCCTTTCACCCTTCCCCCTTTTTTCTTTTTAATGCCTCTGTTTTGATAATTAGACACCGTAGCATAACTGGCCTTTATATATGGCAACATCAGAGCACAACACCTTCAAGTACAAGGTCAAGTAGCATGCGAAGACACCTGAAAATCCACTGAATAATAACTTGGGATGTGCACCTCACCTTAATGTCTAGTTCATAGCCGAATAACCA